GAGGAGACAAGCAATGGTTTAAGTTTGGGGAATTTATGTGAATATGTGTCATTTTTATATATTTTTAGTATAGTTTTTATTTTAGGAATTTTAGTAAATTTTATCACTTAATTTATTTTTACTTCATTTTTAAGTATCAATTTTGTTCAAAGCTTTCGTTGAATCATACATCCACTTGATCTGAAAAGAAATTTGCAGATAATCCACTTGATCTGAAAGAAATTTGCAGGGTTTTGGCACAAAAAAGAGCATTACAAAGCAAAATACTCAGGCTCGAGCACGCCCAGCCCATGCACTTTAGCACGCCCGTGCTAAAACTAAGGAAAATCAAGTGGAGAGTCAGGGGCTAGCATGGCTAGCCCGTGCCCAAAAGAACCTCAGGGCGTGTTTGCCTAGGACGCCAGTGATGAAATCTATCTTGGAAGGACAAAGCCTAGCACGCCTTAGCCGTGCTAGGGCGCACGCCCGTGCCACAAAGACTCCTCTGAGCGTGTTGCATAGCACGGCCCGTGCTAAATCATTCATAGTTCCAGACTCTAGCACGCCCAAGTCGTGCTAGATGGCACGCCCGTGCTACGAAGGCAGAGCTGACTTGAACTAAAAATGCAAGCCAATATTTTTCTCACATGGGCCCGCCTCAGATATATTCCTAAATGTGCAAAACAAGATCTAAACCTATTTAGGAAGAGAGAAGAGTCCTAACTAAGAAGAAATCCTATCAGTTTATTGATCTCCAAATCATGATCTCCTATAGAAGATTTTGCACTAAATAAGGATTCTATTTCCTAAACGGAGTCAGATTTGCCTTCAGGAGCTTTATATAAAGAGGGGAACTTCTCATTGTTGGATATCTCATTTTTTGTGCTATTTTCTGCATAATTCTCTCTCTCTCAAAAGATTTCAAGCATCCAAGGTTCGTGCCAAGATTCAAGGAAGCCATCCACATAGCTGTGATCTAGTTTTTAATTCTAAACTCTTCATCTTGTTTTTCTTTTCATTGTTATCATTAAGTATGATGATTGATTCAAGTATGACTAAGTTTTATTTAATTATTATGTCTAGCTAAACTCTTATACTAGGGATTTGATGTAACTTAATTCGATTCCAATTTATAATATTAGATTTGTTTTTCATTGTTTCCTTGTTGCTTGTTAATTTTATTATTTGAACTTTAAGCTTTCCAGGAGAATTTGTCCCCTGGATGAATTATCTCATTAAACATATCGAAAAGAATGGTATGATACGAAAACAGAGTACATAAATTACATGAGATAATCAACTTGATGCGGAATCTTATGGTTTGACTCATTGGGGTTTTCATAGCGTTAATATGCCTTAGGTTCATGATTTACACAAACAAACCATAAAAAATTAATGATTTAATTCATGTTTGATTGTTGCCAATTGGAAGATAGGCAATTGGGACCGGAATAGAATAGGCCTAACAATACATCGGAGAGCTTGGAATTAGGTTGTTTTCCCCTACTTGAAACAATTAAAATTGAATTAACAAACTAAAGAATTTAATTGGACTAGAAATTAAGTGAAATCAATATCCCTGAGAGTTTTAAAATCCTTGATAATCCTTGATTTCTTTTCATCTAAATTTTGTTGCTTGATTTCTTCCTGTTTTACTTTTGAATTTACTTTCCTTATAACAAATCTCTCTTATTGTCATTATAAATAATAATAGGTTAACATAATTTTGGTACTTGATATACAATCTCCGTGGATACGATACTTTTCTTACTCTATATTACTTGTTGTGATTTCGTACACTTGCGAAAATCATTGTCACTAGGCCTGGTAGAGACAACATCCTTGTAGTTGTTGATAGGTTTAGCAAAATGACTCATTTCATTCCTTGTCATAAAACTGACTATGCCATTAATGTTGTTGATCATTCTTTCGAGAGGTGGTACGGTTACATGGGGTGCCACGGACTATTGTGTTTGATAGGGATGCAAAGTTCCTTTCACATTTTTGGAGGGTTTTATTGGGCAAGCTTGGTACTAAGTTGCTTTATTCTACCACGTGTCATCCACAAACCAATGGACAAACTGAGGTTGTGAATAGAACTTTAGGCACCTTACTTCGTGCTATTGTGGGTAAAAATTTAAAAACATGGGAAGATTTTTTGCCATTCATTGAGTTTGCATATAATCATAGCATACATTCTACTTCAGGTTTTACTCCATTTGAACATGTATATGGATTTAACCCACTAACTGTTTTGGATCTCCTTTTACATAGAGCTTTCTAGTTTAGATGGTGGCTCGAAAAGCCGAATTGGTTGAAGACCTTACATGAGAAGACTAGAGCAAAATATAGAATGATAACAAACAGTATGCTGATAGAGCGAATAAAGGAAGGAAGTGAAGCTAGTGTTTGTGCTTGGAGATTGGGTGGGTACACTTTTCGAAAAAAAGAGGTTTCTAACCAACGGAATGACTAAAGCTTGATGCCACCATGGAGATGGTCCATTTCAAAGTCTTGGAAACGCATTCAATGATTAATGCCTACAAGATAGACTTGCCAAGTGATTATGGTGCTTTCTGGCCACTTTTTAATGTTAGTATTTGTCTCTTTGACATGGATGCCCAGATGAAGAGGTTTCCTAACCAACGGAAGACTAAGCTTGATGCACATGGAGATGGTCCATTTCAAGTCTTGGAACGCATCAATGATAATGCCTACAAGATAGACTTGCCAAGTGAGTATGGTGTTTCTGCCACTTTTAATGTTAGTGATTTGTCTTCTTTTGACATGGATGCAGATTTGAGAACAAATTTTTTCGAGGAAAGGGGGAATGATACGGATCCGCCATCACTCATCCATGGAGCTCAAGGGAGAAAGGAGAACAACATGGAAAATCCTTTAGTGCTTCCTAGTGGGCCAATTACACGGAACCGTGCCAAGCGATATGGGGCAGCCATGTCCTTATATGTTCAAGACCAAGTTTTACAAGAGCTTCTTGATGTGGCGTTTAACAAGTGTAGTGTGGAACTCGAAGGCACACCTAGGCTTCTTACATTGTTGGAGGCTTGTGTTGAAGGTGTAGCACGCCCGTGCTGAGTAGCACACCCAGGCCGTGCTAGAGTCTCACTCTTGGATGTGTTTGGAGTAGCACGCCTGACTTGGACATGTCTTATGCCTTAATGCTTTATTTGGCTTAGCCCATTTGTTACCTTTGTATGGGCCTTTTGTTAATGGGTCTTTTCCTTAGGTTAGCCCAATTATGTTAAAAAACCTTTGTTTTCCTTGTAAACACAACTTTGGAGATCATATTGAATTTATAGAAATTTGTTTATGCTTTGCATGTTCTTTGCTTAGAGTGATTGTGAGAAATTGATTTCCTCTAATTTCATCAAAAATTATGGTAGACTTATCAATTCGATGTGGCGTTTATCTTATTCTTCTACTCGATTATTAGTGTTTCCATTTCCTTATAAACGTGAGGTGTCATAGAGAGGGATTTAACTTAATCTTCGATCCTGATTCATTTCAATCAAGGGTTCTAGAAATTTCATTTCCTTTGGATCCGCATCAAAACAGAAGTCCGCAATCACATCTTGAAGTCCTATTTACATTGCTTCTAAAACTTGGTCTAAATGGCTTAGTTGGGCTGAATTCTGGTACAACACCAATTTTCAAGGGGCTATACAGAAAATATGATTTGAGGTTATTTATGGCAGACCTCCTCCAACATCTAACATCTCCTTCCCAGAGAAACACGTGTAGAAGCTTTATCTCAACATTTACAAGATAGAGATGAGGTTTTAAGGTAGCTCCATCACAATTTACTTAGACCACCGTGGTTACTAGTCAAGTGTGCAAATAAACATAGGCGGGATGTTCAGTATTTAGTGGGAGACAGTTTTTTTTAAGCCCCAGCCTCATCGCCAACAATCAATGGCTAAGCATATTAATGCTAAATTAGCTGCTCGTTATTTTAGGCATTTTGAAATAATTGGAAAAATTAGAGTTGTCGCTTACAAGTTGAAGCTACCTTCATCCTCAACAATCCACCCCGTTTTTCACGTTTCACAACTGAAACGGGTGGTGGGAGAGCATGCATTCATTGATCAGCTGCCTGACACATTAAGGAGTATTCAAGGAGAGTTTATGCTAGAACCACTCAAAAGTATGTCAGCAACGAGTATGGTATAAAGACCTGCAACAGACCCCTCAAGTTTTCATTCAGTGGCAGGGGTAATCTGAAAATAATGCCACTTGGGTGAATGAAGATATACTAGCGTAATTTCCTCATTTCTACCTTGAGACAAGGCAGTTTTCAGGAGGGCGGTAATGATAGAAATAATCAGGCTCAAGGCCTGTTTTTAGTCTATATTATTTGTTATTTTCTTTTGTCCCTTCTTCAAGTAAATGAGTTATGGGGTTGATTCGTTAACCATTGTCCTTCGTTTCTTTGATTATTTGTTATTTTCTTTTGTCCAAGGGTAGAGGCAATTTGCATAAGAAACAATGCTTCAATTACAATACACTGAAGCAAGAAATTGATCCATGTGTGAAACTTAAAAACTCTTAACTATCTAGCCAGCCTGTAACTCGTAACTTATGTCCTGATCAAGGTTTAGAACCTACATTATGTTAAAATCAGTATCCTACATCAAATCATTGGAAGAATCTATGGATCCGATCGAGAATCGTAAGATCCTGCAAATTATAAATTAAAAATTAAAAATACTAAAATATTATTATGATGATCCTTTTAGGTAGTTAATTCTAAGAATGTGACAGTAAAACTAGTAATTTATCATTTTTATTAGTCTATGAACAATATAAATCTATTATAGAGAGATTGAAACCACAACCAACAGAAAATTCAACCATTCGTCCCTCCTTAATCTTGGAGTTCAATGATTTGATATCCTTGACTTTAAATCATAGCTTCGCCCCCTAACATCCGAATCGATTAGCCAAATTTGGATCATAGCATTGTCTGGACCTGATTAACTATGGCCCTAGAAATAGCATCATGAATAAGAAATTTTTAATGTTAATATGAAACCAGCAAGGAATGTACAAAATATCAAGGCAGTAAAGTTGTATATTAACAGGAAGACTCGCCAAGAAAGTATATCTGACGAACTAATCTCCAGATACATAAATATTAACCTAACATATCTACTCCCATATGCCTACTCGGTAATCACATTACCCATCCACCCACTCCGAAGACAAAAATATAAAAATAATGATAAAAAAAAGAGGGGAGTGGGGGGGGAAGGACAGGCAAAACTACATGGAGAGGTGAGGCCTCTATGCAGTTTCAAAACTAAGGTATGGCTGTGTGCTTACTAAGATTACTAGCAAAATTACCAACACAACTACTTTAAACATAAAAATTGGGCGACGAGTGGAAGAAGCCTTCGAGATTACAGATGGAACCTTTTTGAGCACTGAAACTCGGTTCCTCAGCCTTATATTCGGTCCAATGTTAGACGTCGATTCTTCAGAGAATTGATTGCTTTCACTGGCCTCATAAACCAAAAAGTTCTCGTGTTCATGTTCATACGTTGTACTAGCACTTCCAACAGAAGTATCATTTTCTGTCACTTCTGAGTCCTGCACATTACAATTCAATGATATTCAATATCCAAATTTACATAAAACTGGACCATTTACTCAGCATCACTAACAAACTACTCACCTCAGACACATTTGGATCTGATGTGTGTTCTTCTGGCATAGAGCTCCAATTTTCACCAAATTTAACTGGCTGGACTTGGAGTTTACACTGTAGACGTATCCTTCTCGATGCAACACCCTGAGCGGGAAAGTTCGGGGTATTCGGTAGACTTTGTGGATTTCGAGGCCTAATCCTGATTCCAGCTCCAACATTCTCACCACTATTAATTTGATTCATATGGTTGCTTGTTTCCTTTAAACTGCTGCATTGGCCTACAGCAAAACTTGAAGCCAAACTTTGGTTCCCATAGGATTCATTATGTACTGAACCAAAATCTTTATGCTGATGATAGACATTATAGTCAGAAGTTAGAATTCTGTTATCATGTGGAGTTGTTTCACCTTGAAAAACAAGCTTTCTGTCAATATCTTCCTCAGGCCACACAGAACCTTGCAGCTCTTTCTCCTGCTGTGGCAGCAGAATATGTAAAAGTTAAATATAAGCCAATAAATTTTATGCAAAGATTCAGAAGCAAAGCAACACCATGAAACATAAAAGAATTAATTTGGTTAAATCCACTTACCAAAACTTGGCTCGCTTCTAATCCACCATAAGATTCAGAATCCTTGCATGAGTACTCAATTGGCTGCCGAAGGATGTCATTCAGGAAACTAGTCACATAGTCAACTTCTAATTCATTCGTGCCATGTTGAAATTGTACACCACTGTCATTGACGACAGAATAAGATAGAGAACCAACTTCTGCTTGTACTTGTGCGTGCAGTGGAGAAAATAGTTTGTCATCTAGAGGCTCAGGTGGTTGGGCAAAAGAATTCAAGAATTCTTCCAGCTGTGTATCCTCCTGAAGAAACCATATATACATAAGATTATTAGCTGGTTGTAAACTGAAAACCTCTCTTTAGCTGAAATCACATATACATAAGTTCTAAAACACTTATAAATTAAAACCTATCTCACCTCAGGAGTCATTACATCTAACTTTTCATCTCCTGCTTGATTAACGTTAGACCATTCATTAGATGGTACAATGTTGGGTGGTGGTGTATGTACCGGAGATGCTTGCGGCACTGTTAGCTCTGATTCTGTAACTTCCGGAGAGGATTGAACTGCAGTTGGAGATGAAAGAGTAGCCTCAGGTTCTTCTAAATTCAAATCCACAGTATCATCTTGTTTCTTAAATAAACGACAAATGACAAATGGACTCTGCAAGAAGATGAATCAACTCTAAGAATGTCTTCTCAAATAGATAGAAATGAGGTAATTAGACCTTAACTGACAAGCAATTATCTTTTTAGCAAAAAATGAAGCCAACCCATCAATCAATTAACCAATTTTGTTGTAAATGGAGAATATAAAAAATATTATAAATTAAATCAAAACCAACAAGCATAGTGAGATAGGACCTGCCTGTCCAGGTTTAGTGCCATCAAGCTCATCCTCAGTAGCACGATATTCATGGATGACCCAATGGGTTCTCTTGCCACGTGGAGCGCGTCCAGTGTAAAAGACGAGAGTTTTCTTCATTCCAATCAAGTTATTTCCAGACTTGATTTTGCGATCCTTTCCAGTCGCCTTCCAATACCCTTTGCTTGTAGCCCTATTCAATCTGTGCCCATTCGGATACTTGCGGTCCAACGGACAGAAAAAGAACCATTCTTGATCATTCGTCTGTATATTGGATAAATCTGAACTCCCAAATTCCAGGAAACAGAAAAAACCAAATACAAATTCGTAAATTCAATTAAAATATAAGCCAAAACAAAATAGAAAGTAAAGTGAAAAGAAAACAGAGAAAAAAAAAGTACCAGGCAAATCCCATGGCTCCCATTTGCAGACATCGAGTTCACGAATGACTCTAACTTCTCGATCGTTGCCATTAATTTTCAACCTCAAATAGTAATTCACTAATTCCTCGTCCGTTGGCCTGAATCTGAACCCCAACGGCAACGAATTCAAAGACATCACTGCCATATTCACTCTACACCAGTATACAGAGAGAGAAAAATCCTTTCAAAAAGAGAAACAGGAGAAGATAAAGAGAAAGAGAGAATCTTGAGGAATTCCGATTTTAAGGTAAGACTGGCCCCTATAGCTTTTAACGATGAGAAAGAAGAAGCAACTGAGAAAGTGACTTGGCTCAGTTTTTGAGCTCCGTTTTTCTACACATAAACTACGCGGTTTCATGACTAAAAAAGAAAAGGAAGAATTACTATTTAATTCCTAAATTTGACCAGCATTACTAATTAATCCCTTTTGTTTGATAAAAGAATTAATTAGTCTATAAAATTTAACCATGTTAATTATTTATTTTTTTGTCCAAAAATATTATTTATTTATTAAATAATGATGAATTTAGTAAATTTAAGAATTTACATATACCTAATATATAAATAATAGAAACTAAATATTATACATATTATAAATTATTTAATGGTTAAAATGATATTTTTTATGGAATCAGAGTTAAAATGTTATGGATCAATTAATATTAAGACGAGTTTATAATTTAAGTTAAATTTTAGTGATTAAATAAATAATTTTTCCAAAAGGACATCATCCATTTCGTATATACCGCGTATCGAATTTGTCACCCTCGTTTTTCTTTTTATATCGATAATGCCCTGTCCGTCTGGTTAAAATCCGTCTTATGCCCACGATATGGTAGAGTAAGATGGAGAACCATAGGGGTATATGAGACAAAGACATTGAACGTGACATGCATGCCATCGAATAGAATACTGACACGTCAACACATTCCGTCGGCTTCAGAGAGTGGGGGCCTACACGTCTGACGTGGTGCAATTATCTGTGTACTACAAGAAGTAGCGAAGAAGAAATAAACAGGAAATTCCGAGGAATCTTACGCATTTACGCGCGCGTATTTGGGCTCTTAATTTCCCACTGTTTTTCCTTTTTTTAAAAAAAAAAAAAAGAAATTGCTGAGAAAATAACCAAAAAAAAAAAAAAAACCTGGAGAATGTTCTTATTTGTTTTTCTTTCTTTCAACAATAATAACAGTGTCAATTTCGTTGCAATCATAGCAATTTTTTGAATATGCGAATCTCCTTGGATTTCTTCCTTTTCTGGAACTGTAAAAACCATTTTATAAACAAATCCTTAAAATAATCCATGATGATGATGATGGAGGCCGGTTCACTGTTTTCGGTTCAATAAATTAGCCATTCCAATTGGGTGAGATGAAATGAAATTGGTTGATTCCGATGCAGATTCAAAGTGAAAAGAATTAGAATTAAATATATTATCTCCCTGTCGATCTAATTTAAAAATGAAATTCCCAAACTGATTTTGCTTCGAATATTTTTTATGCCGACTTCGATCTAATTCTAGTCCAAATTGAATTATCTCATAATTGAAGTTGCCTCTGAAATAATTAAAATGTGAGCAAATAGTTGGATCAGTTCAAATCAAATCGAATCAAGAAAAATTAAAAATTGAAATTTTTAGACACCATATTGAATCGAACTAGAATTAACATTTGAATTGAATTAACTCAGTATTAAATAGTTAGTTCAGACGATTTTGATCATTTTTTATCAAATCGATTCGGTTTTAAATCCAACCAATTAATTTTTTTTAAATCAATTCAAATCAAATAGTAAATTCAGTTTAAACCGATTAACTCGAAAAACGAAACTTCTTAAATAAATTGATCGAATCAAACTGAAATAGATCGATTTAATTTTCAATTCGGTCAGTGATTTTATGCACCTGGGCGAACCGCTGAGGGCAATATTCATTGAATTGGTAAAACAATTTCAAGGACATTATCGTCCAATAATGTTAATTTTGGCACAAGAAATGTACTTTTTAATCTACTTTTCTGGGTCCCTTTAAAATTATTTATTCCAAATCAGCCAAAGAACAAAGACTAGTGTCATGTTAAAGAGGCCACCAACACAAATGGCTTATCAGACACGTCTCCTAGTTTTAGCAGTGAGAAATATATATATATATAAATTTTCTTAAAAATAAGACATACCTTTTCTTTTTCTTTTTAAATCTTCTTTAACACTTTTTTTTTTTTTCAAAAGGACATTTGGTTAGGGACTTTTAACATTTTATTTTGACTTATTAAAATATTAACTCTTAATTAATTAAATTTTTGGCAATGTTTTCTAGCTAGTGAGAAAGGATGACTCCTTTCTTGACTTGATAAATGAATTGTCTTTTTCCTTGCAGGAGTCAGGACATTATAGCGGTGCAAAATCGTAATTCAAGAGTTCCTATGGGATAAATGAAGCATTTTGAATTAAAAAATGAGAATGAAACTTATAAATTATTTAGGGGAAATGGAGAAAGAAAAGACAATAACCATATATTTCTTCAAAAAACAAATGGTCATGATATATAAATATGATTTGTCAAACACATAAAATTAATTTGTTACAGTTGAGCTTTAAAATATTTATGTTATAAATTTGTGAATTTATTACATTCTATTTAACTAAACGTGTCATGTCGGTTGGTTTTAACACCAAAATTTGAGCGAATCATATTGGATTTTCATATTATATATCTCGTGTTTGTGCAATTTGTTTATGACCCGCGTATGACATGCTTAATAAAATGTGTTATTTGTGTAATTCGTTTAAGTTCCATTTGGTGTTAGGGTTGGAATATTTGACATAATTAGTAAATTGTGTTCACTTTAGCCCTAATTGCATCATCTTAAGTTAACTAGATACAAATATAACCTACCAATCCATTTTTGACATTCCTAAATAGAGATGAAAGAGGTACGAGTATTTTAAGATATCCACCTTGCTCTGATCCATTTAATGAGGATATGAGTAATAAATGAATTTAGGACAAATACAGCTAGTGAAATCATTACCTGTAACGGATATGAGTAGAGTATATATTAAACATGTTTGATAGTGGGTACTCACGGATACCGAATCCATTATTAGTAAAAAATTTATTTTAAATAGTTCAAATTTTGGATAATTTAAAATTGTGAATACCTTATCCATTTAAGGATACTTTAAATGGATTTTAGATATGTGTAGCTAGTAAAATTTTAAATACGTTCGAATATGGATATTTAAATGGATATTTAAACAAATTTGAGATAGATACAGATAAAAAAATTTTAAATATGAGAATAGATAGGGTTTATTTTTTCTTTAGTTTGAAACACACCGTTTGACTTAACCTCCCCTAATTAAGTGAATTTAACGAAGGTCGGTGGGTCCCATATGTATTAGTATTATATTGTCTAAGTTTGACCAAAACCAAATTGGGATTCAATTTTGATAAAAAAAAAAAAATGAAAATAGGGTGTCTGAGAGGTTAAATTAATTTAAGGGTGAAATTGTGACAACACGCAAAGTTTAAGGCATAAATGATGGTTTACCCCTATAATCTATCTATATTATATATAAAAATAAGAATGAGCGGGAATAATGAGATCTATAATAACTTTATTAAATTTTAGAAATCCTAAAATATCCTTTTGGATAATTGATAATTTGAGTTTATTGAATGACATGAGTTTTTAATAATTGATAAATTATTATATTAAATTATTAATACATTGACTTTTTTTAATAATTTTTTATTAATCGTATATTATTATATAAAAATAATGAATGAGCGGGGATAATGAGATCTAATAATAACTTTATTAAATTTTTAGAAATCCTAAAAATATCCTTTTTGGATAATTGATTAATTTGAGTTTCATTGGAATGACATATGTTTAATAATTAATAATTGATAAATTATTATATTAAATTATTAATACATTGACTTTTTTTAATAATTTTTTATTAATTGATTTAAAAATTTTGCATTCAATTAAATCTCGATTACATTTGATTATTTCTCAATTTAACAGTGAATTAATTACTAAATCAATCAATAATCATATTTATTTTTAATGGTATTTAGGAATATTTGTTTAAACTTTAATTTCTATAATACATGTAATTATTTATTTTATTATAATATCATAGTCCATCTCTAATTTTTTTTCTTTTAACATTATATAAATTAAAATATTATATAAAACAATGTAAATATTTCAAATATATAAGCAAAAATTATGAAAAAAATAATTTAAAAATTTTTAATACCAAAATAAATTTATTTTCTCGAAGATATAATGTGGTTGGATATTTAATATAACACATGGTATTTTCTTTTAAAAGAAAAGCAGCATGAACATATTATTTTTTAATAAATATATACGATAATGAGACATTTGAAAATTTTTATATTTTATTTTATAAATTTATTTTATAAATATTTATTTTATTGCAATACTAGAGTATGTCTCTAATTTTTTCTTTTAACATTACGTAAACTAAATTATTATATTAAATAATGTAAATATTTCAAATATATAAGGAAAAATCATGAAAAAATAATTTAAGAATTTTTAATATCAAAATAAATTTATTTTTCTCCAAGATGTAATAGGTATATATATCTACATAAAGGAATGATTAATATTTTCTTCTAAAAGAAAAGCACTAATGAACATAATTATTTTTTAATAAATATATATGAATACTGAGTACATTTGAAGAATTTTTCATATTATATATATGTATATATATTTGATCCTATATTTTATTATAATTTAAAATATTTTATTTAGGAGAGAGATAAAAAAAATAAAAAAAGTATATTTTTTATAACAAATTTTTCAAAAATAGAATATGGATATTTAAGCCTTTCAAAAATTTAAAAATTTTTACTTTTATAATTTATTTTAAAATAAAATGGAACTTTATGTGTGTTAATATGGATGACGAACAATTGAAAATTTTAATTTTTCACGTATATGTAATATTTTATTTGTCTATATTCTATGTAAAACCTATATGTATTGAAAACATATTTATTAGGGTGATATTGTGTAGTTATTAATGAAATTTTAGATTAAAGTAACGATATAAATTAAACTGAAATGTGTGTGTATAATACACACTGGCTGTTTTAATTTTAATCGTTAATTTTTAATTTAAAACATTTATAAAAATCTAAATAATATAAGCGTGATAAAAATTATAATCCAATATTAATGTTAAAAAATAAAAAAGAATATAAATATATATATATATATATATATATCTATAAAAAATTAAAACGAGTTACGAATAATGAAAGTACGTCAAATCTGTGCAACGCACGTCATAAAAAAGACTAGTT